GAGTAGGGAGTCTATTGAAATGCTAGTGCGCCCTTCCTTTTGTTTGTCACCAAGTCACATGGTTCTGTCTTCAGTGTCCTATTTTTCTTTTTTTAAATTTCTTTTTCTGGGGGACAAAATTAGCCATTTAAATAAAGTTCTTTTCTAGTGAATAAAGAGGGTTCTTGGAGCCAGAAATCACTCAAAAGAAAGTCTTTGACCCTACCCATGGAAAGGCCCAGAGATTTCTCTAAATACCTCTTGCCAAACTTCCTCGTGTTGTGATTGGATGTTTCTTGGTTTTGCACTATTGGGTGCTGAATACACTTTGAAATCCTTTTGTTCTCTTCCCTAGGGCTTCCATTACCCAGGACTTCAACTCATTCCTAAATTAAAGAATTCTTTCAGGAGATTTCTTTTAAGAGTCATGTCACAACAGAAAGGGCACTCTCCTATTCTCCTCAATCCCGAGGGCATCTCAGATTGTGTCTGCTCTTACGTTGCACCTTCGTTGTGTTTCTTTTTGCTGCAGCAGTACATTGGCTGTAGCTGAGGCAGATGGTTTATCTAATACCTTTGCTGTAGACTCACATATCCTTTGCTCCCAGGCCCAGCTCATTAAATAACATCTACAACAACAGAGGAAGGCTCCAGAATGGGCACGTCTAGTGTGAAGCCTGGCCAGATCTATTTCACTGCCCCCTTTTCTAAGGGCAACAGGTGTTAGGAGCATTATGGGAGCCACACTAGGAAGCAACATGAACCTTTATTATGTTCTCTTGGGGATCTGAGTGATTTATAAGGAGCACACCTCATTCTGAACTTCTGTGCTGAGGAAAAACACTGTTTTGGGGCATAGACTGGGCACATGCTGCTGGTGTGCTTGTAGGGTGAAAGTACTAGTACGTGTAGTTCAAGTCATTAGGACTACGTGAAACAAACCCACCCAGAGGAAACCTTTTCTCCGTTCACATCAGAATGCCCAAACTCTAACTGCTCACAGGCTGGGAACAGGATTTCTTGGTCCTTGTAGAATATTGGGACGATATGAAATAAAACCTCTATGAGTCCTAAACAAAGCGAATACAGTCATTCTTTCTAATTTCAGGAGCTATCATGACCTCCAAGATGCCCAGGAAGAAGGGATGGCCTGCAGCTAGAACATAAGCAGGAAACTATCCATCAGTTTCTCATGGCACAAACAGATTTAGAGCATTGGAAATTTGGGGAAGAGAAAGTCTTATTAAGAGCTAAAGTTTATAACTCAATTAAAATATATAGTAAAAACATTTTGATATAATTTTATTTCAGGTTTTTTGGTTTTTTTTTGACCTGGCTTATTTCTCAATCAGATCCAGGTGTTCCAATTCCTTCCTTTTTAGGGCTGTATTCTACACATTTGGGGTCTTGGGGATAAAAATATCGGCATTTAATAGGGGGAAATTGTCCACTATGCTGAGATGCTACCAAGTTTTTAGTGCCTGGAAATTTTATTCTTCATAAACTTTATCTAAATGCTTTGGGAAACATTTATTTTTGACATTTTTCTTACCCTTGTTCAGCTGACCCAGTTTTAAAATCATAAATTGCTAAAAAATATTATTTTCCATACCAGTTCTTGTACTCATCCCATACGTATTCTAAGAGGTGTTAAATCTGGAACATTTGCTTCTGTTTTATCTATTTATTCCCCCCCTGGCTACTGAAAAAAATTTTCCTTGCACTTATAGCATCCTAGCATGAAGTTCTAAATGCAAGAAGATTGTTGGATTTGAAGTCACAAAATAAAAGGATTCATGTTCATCCTCTATTCTCAAAACAAAATATGTTTCCCTATTTCCTAAAATGTTTGTGATTATTTAAAAGTAAAGATTGACGATCTGGATGCATCTCTATCCTTTTGAAAGAGGTATGACTCGCTTACTTTCTAAAATGCAGGTCAGTTTGGAAAGCAGCCCTTTCAGAGACTAGAACACGTGGCAATGGCCCCACAGCAAGCACATTGCTCCTCCAGGTTAGATTGTCCCCTCCAGCCCAGCCTCAAGAATTCTCCAGAGAACAGTCTGTCAACGACTTTAGGCTGCGAGATGTTTGAAAGGAACAGACACACATGATGACAAGCAGAAAAAGTCTACTGCTATGCAAACCCTGGATGGTCCCTGCTGTCCTAATGATAACATCACCTCACCAAAAAATCTTTAGGGATCCTCTGACATTGTTAAAAAAAGACATACTTCCTTTGAAGGAAAGTAATGAATATTAGGTTTTCAAGCCCAACTAGAATTTCCCCCCTATATGTTCTATAACTAAAGGTGGATTCTAACCCAATTGCTTAGCTTTTCACATGGCAAATTAGCATTACGGCAAATGGGTCTCCTTTGAATTTGAGAAGCAGATAGCTAAATCTGTGGCCCATCATGGCATCCAAATTCAACTTTTCTGGAGGTATTATGAATTCTGTCTACTTTGCTAAGGTTTAAATACATAAGGACACTATTTTAAAAGCTACTGTCAAATAATTGAAAACATTTTAATGGGGCTTTTGGCTTTTATTTATAACGTATACTAAGCAATATGTAATTTCCCTCTGGATTAAAAAAATCTTTCTTAATGTCAATTTTTTCTTTCTTATTTTGTGGGTTGAATGACTTGTTTTCAAAATATCAAAACAATTTCATGACAGGGTTAGTTAACTAATGCTCCCCCTGTTGGTTTTAAGTGGAAATATGAGAATCTTACACACTGCTATTTTAAAAAGCCAAGTTTTCAAGAGAAAAATGGACTTTTTCTTAGTTAAAATCTGTTCTCTACTAACTTTTAAAACACATCAATTTGGACACACAGTTCTTGGCAGTACTCCTCTTAGAAATCATGATGGGTGATATGCAACAGTCAACTAACCATCCAAGTCTACATTAAAACTTCTAGCAAAATATTTACTGAATTACGGACACAGGAACAAATCACACTCACATATACTCCAGCTGCACTAACCCTACTAAACATCACCAAGAACTTATGGAAAAGATCTCATTTAACCAAAAGTCTAAAATATATATGGGTAAAACCAATTTAGTCATTACAGAGCTATTTCCCTTGGAAGACTTCTCCTTTGCTGCACAGTTTTTGAAAATAAGTTGCTAAAAGAAAAATCGGTTAAATGAGAAGTAATTTTGAAACTAAAATAATCTATTTTTTTCTCTTTCACAATTCCAGTTTGGTGTTTCTGCTTTGTTTAAAGTTTTAATTTTCCCCCTTAAGTGTGTTAAAAATATGCCCAGCAATGCAACCACCTTTGGCATTGTTGTTAGGTTTAAGAATTCCTACAGTTGGGTTGGAATCCCCTCAGGACACTGTCTATAGATAGAAAAATCTCTATTATAATACCTTGATCAGGACCGAAGAGAGAAATCCCAATTAGGAAGAGAGAGTGGCACCTAGGAGGATGCAATGGATTGGTGGCCTTTGAATGATGGATATTGGCATCTGGAAAGTGTGTTACTTTCTTGAAAACCTTTCCAAAAAGCAAGAGTTAATAAATCAGATAGAGCACAATCATCTTACTTTGCCCTCTCAACCACAGTGGAGATAGTCGGAAGGTAACATCTGAAAAGAAGTAATTTTGGCATCAAGGCTTCCTGCTCTGTCACAGGCTCTGCTATCACTGCTCTCTGTAGATGTGAAGGGTGAGGAGCTACCGCAGTTCTGTATGCTCCTCCCCCAGGCTGACCACAAAGGGAAAGAAGCCATTTGTCAAGACCTCTAATCTACTAGTGTTTCATCAAAGAAAACAGTAAAGTCCATGGAAATTCTAGAGTCATTCAATCTCAATAAACTTTTAGAGAACCAAGAAATCTGTTTCTGAAAGTTAAAGTCCCTCCCATGAAAAAGAACAGAATTCTAAATGGATCAGTTGGGAAAAAAAAAATCAGTGGAGCAACCTAAGCTTGCTAAAAGTCAAAGAACTACATATCAAAATACAAAGCAGCAGTTCAAATTACAGCAGGGATGGGCAGCCACAGAGGCCCTCATCAACCCAGGCAACACTTACAATAATAAAAATTAAGAAAAATTAAAAAAAATATGAAGAAAATATCCTTCCTCTCTTTCAAATATAACTTTAATTGCCTTTTATTCTTTCTATCTGGAAGCAGTATCGCTAACCTTAACAGTCTTGACTTACCAAAAAATATATATATATGTGTGTGAAATAAAATAAAAGAGAAGGGATTGGTGGCAGTGTATGCAAAACCAAAATGGAAAAAAAAATTTACTTTTAACAATCTCACTTTTTTTTTGTTTTTTTTTTACACAAATACTGTTGTAAATATATTAAAAAAATCAGCATTCTATCTGGTAAACGTCACTTTTGCCCCTCTATAAAATTTTGAATTAAAAAAGCCTCAAGAACTTTTTATTATTCCCCCCACCCTCCATTTCTCTTTCTCTTCCACAAGAATATATCCTGACACTTTTTTTTTGTTTTTTTGCAAAGATTGTTGGAAATAATCCTTCTCTTGTACCTAGAAACATTTTCCTGCCTTTCATGAAAGTCCCTCTTGATTGTGCTGAGGCTGTGGCTCAGCAAAGACACTGAATAAATACGATAGCCACTGTTGCTTGATGCTTGTCCAAGTCTTCCTGGCTTCTGCTGAAATGGGGGGGCATGGAGGAGGTGGGCTGGGGTGTATGGGCCCAAGCGGAATCTGGGGGAGAAGCCTGCCATTCCCCTTTCCCACATCACCAAACCCACTGCCCCTTCCCACCTCCACAGCCCTTTTATGAAATCAGACAACATGGTAGGTGGAAAACAGCAGGGCCTTTCCTCTGGGTTTTCAACCAGAAGTGATATTCCACAGTTTTAACTGGTTACTGTGAAGTCCAAGTGGCCAGAATTGTGAAAATGTCCTCTGAAACACTGCAAGCGGTGTACTTAAAGACAGTCGGCCTTTTAGATTTCGGTATATATTTTTGTAGTGCTCTTCACAAGTGAAAAAAAAATTTTTTTTTAAATTTTTTAAAAAAGATTTTTTTTGTAAAGAAGGGTTGTATTTAGAGGCCAGTAGCTAGAGATCCAACCAGTGGACCCCTTGAAGCACTACCAGGCCTTAAGGCCACCATCCGAGGGAGGCCGGGAAAACTATTATTCACCCGAGCCTCCGGAAATGTAATGTACCAGCAGGCAAAAAACAGTTCTTCATGTAGTACAAAACGAAACGAAACAAAAACAAAAACAAGAAAGTAAAAATGAAACTAAAACATTTCTTAAATTCTAGTGCCATAGCTTTTTTTTGTTGTTTGTTTTTTGTTGTTGTTTTGTTCATAAGAAAGAGAGAAAGATATTACTTATCCGTCAGACACATGCATCCTCATGTGGTCGTTGAACTGCTCGATTTGGTCAAACTTTGCTGGACAGACGGAGCAGACGTAAGTGGTCCCCTCCGTGCAGGCCACCACACCTGGGGGGCCAGCGCGGGCTCCCGGGGCTGTGCCTGTGGGAGGGGTCCCATTACTGGCACTGTGCAGGGCCACGTGTCGCTCCAGGAGGGTCTTGTGGGAGAACTTCTTTTTGCAGATGTAGCACTCATAGGACTTCTCCCCCCGGTGGAGGCGCATGTGCACATTGAGCGAGCTCTTCTGGGTGAAGCGCTTGTTGCAGATGCTGCACTGGTATGCCCTCACTCCTGTGTGTGTCACCATGTGCTTGATAAGGTAATCCTTTAAGGAGAAGGAGCGCCAACAGATGCTGCATTGGTGGGGCTTCTCACCTGTTGAGGTGGGAACAGACAGGCAGGACAGAGCGAGACATAGCAAGGGAGGGAGAAAGAGACAGAAAAACAAGACAACAAAAAACAAAAACAAAAAAATTAAAAAAATAGTCTGATTCATTAATGGATCCCTCTTGATTGGAAAGATCCAGTCCTTCCTGGCCTCTTGTGTGCTGAGAAACCTTGCTTTAAGGTGATGCCAGGGAAGTCTAGAGTTTCCTGTTTCCCTGTGTCAGAAATGGCTTTCTTGGAAAGCTCTAAGACATTCCCCACTAAAAGTCTTCCAAGGTCATCCTGTGGAGAAAAGGAAGGGCTACTTTAAGGGGGTAATTCTCAGTGTCACCATTAGGGGATTTATATGTGTTTCCCATTAACATTATCAAAAAATATACGAACTAAGAGAGAGGGAAGATCTTTGGAGACATGGGGTTCTCTGCAGTCTTTGGGAACTAAGCACAGTGATCACGTAGCTCACCTCTCCATTTCCAGTATTCTACTCAGTAAACACGCTCGTGCCTTGATTTTAGGCCTGGCAAACATTGGCCAACATAGAAATAAGTCATTTTAAAGAGCTACACTTTCAAGTTTATCTAGTTTATATGGAAAGCTTCCTAAAACACAACTTAAGAGTTAATTGGCTCTTCTGTCTTGATTTCACTGAACTGCAGATAGGCCTCATCTGGTGTGGAGGTTGGGTAGGTGGTGAACAACACGATGCTCTCAAATGGTCCTGCTCCAATCCAGGCCCCAACATATGGCCCACCACTCTGACAAACCTCCCAATGCCTCTGAGGTACACAGTCCTACTTACCTCACTGTGCTGGTGTTGACATAAAAAAAAAAAAAAACAACACATGTGAAATCACTTTGCAGACCACCAAGAGTGGTATGGGAATACTTGCACGGTATTCTTATTACAGCACTACCCTCCCTCTCTCCGCTGCCCATTAAATGTTTCCATATGCTTTTTGTGAACTCTTGGGTCAATTTTAAAAATAGTTCTCTCCTTTACTCTCAGTCTGTTGGCTAGAAATCTTTCCCCTCAGTTTACTGCTTTGGTTTGCTGTTGACTTAAGAAACCAAACTATTGAGCATGTTAAAAACAGTAAGGTAAGTATGAGTATTGTCAATGAATGGCCACACGAGGTGTTCTGATCTAAGTAAAGTCCATAGACCTGTGACATCTCTTTGGTTAAATAGGGACTTGTTTTTCTTGTTCGTACTGTTTGTTCTCAGCTCTGCTCTTGACAGGTGAGATGAACTACATTACGGTGTTTCCATCTCCCACATCATTTCTGATTGTCCACCTCAGAGAATAAAGTCCTTTTATGGACTCTTCCACAATTGAGCCTGAAGACCCCAAAGCCTTTGAAGTTCTTAAAGGTAATATTTCAACATCTGGACAATGCATCAAGATAGGGAATCTATGTCTTAAATTTGAGTTAACTTCTATTAAAATTTGCACCTCTGTGTTTCCATTTCCCCTCATTATGTGTCATAGTAATAATGGCGATGAAAACACTCACTATGTATTGGGTGCTTAATATGTGCCAGACTCAGTGTTGGTGCTTTACGCTCCATGATCTGTTTTATGAAAATTTATCCTACCAGACAGCTTCTTCATTGTGTTTGTAAGCATAAAAGGATTTGTTTCAAAGCACACGATCGTAAGAAATGGCTGTTTTGTTCAGGAATTACTTCACAAATTTCTTAATTTCATGGACCTTTGCACTCTTTTTCCTTTACTTATTCACTAACATTTTGGCCTGCTGCCTGCTCTTCTCAACTCTCTTCTGATTGCGTTTCCCATTTTCTTAATGTTGGGACAGAATGATCCATTGGACCACAGGGTTAGAAGAGAAACATTTGTTTCACTTTTAGACTAAAATGAGGGAATTTCAGGAAGCCTCATTCCTAAATGAAGAGTTCTGCCTCAGCATGCTATTTATTTACATAGATACATTTTTTTGAAATGAGAGACTCTAGGGGAGAGAGTCATGCCTGTTATTTTTAGTTGAAATGTTTCTGTCAGCTGTAAACACGTTTGGAACTCCCGCTGGTCTTGCCTTCCTGGTGCTCTCGGGACACTTCCTAGAGGCCATGACAGGCCGGCCAACTATCTTTAAAACATGTCCACCTGTCACCTTTAATGGGACACATGCCTTTTGAGGTTCCAGATGGTATTTGGCTGCTAGGAAGTTAAAACTTTGTCTATGTTAAAGAGCTCTCACTCTTTGAAACTTTTACCTTCTAGTGCGTTTTTCCTCCAGGCAAGGTCACTGGTGAAGGCTTTTTACTTTCACACCCTTCTCATCTGCCTTTAAGTTGTTTCTTCACAGTTAGCTTTCCCTTCATAGCACAGATCTGTATGTAGTTTGTATGCACTGAGTGTTGTTTTGGCAGTTAGTTACCTGTGCAATCCTGGGCTTTCCCAGTGGTTTCATCTCTCTGGGTGTGTGTCCCTTCTGAAAGTGAGGAGCGGGCCGGAACCTCTGTCACAGTCCTTTGCAGATTTGGTGGCCACCGTGGCCCACCACCCCTGAGGACTCATCAGTGTATGACCTGAGTGCAACCTGCTTAAATCCCTCAGTGCATCCGCAGTCCTGCTTTTTAAATGGGGCAAAGTGTGCTGTTCCCTTCCCTGCCACAGAAAATGGTATCACAGTTAAGGAGGAGACATGTTTGCAAAGTAAGCACTTGGGAGCCCCTTAGTGGAAAGGGGCTGTTGTACTAAATGGGGCGTATTTTTAGAGTAGTCGGGTATCCACAAATTTCATCTCTATATGTTTGGATCTGAAACAATATCACTCAATGGAAATGGTAATATTTTTCCTTTCCATTATTTTCCTGCATGTTACTTATAGCAATCACACAGGCGCTTTCAGCATTGTATATGGCAGGGACGTGGTCTGCTGGCTGTTGCTTTGGGTGGAGAACTAAAGTTAACATGAGTGGTGGTGGATGGTTTTCCAGGCCAGAAATGGCAAGTCCGATTTGTTAGATGCAAAGCAAAAACAAAAACAAAAAAAACAAAAAAAAAAACCTAAAACACCACACCATGAAGTACAAAACACACGCTAGAATTATAATGTGAGGGGGAAGCTCACATAAGCCCCTTAGCTTTAAAATGATCCACTTTGAGGCTAATCAGATGTAGGAGTCAGATATGAATTCAATTTCCTTGGCTGGTGACTCGGGCATGTTACTTAACCTCTCTAAGCCTCAGTTTCCTTATCTGTAATTTGAGAATAATACAGTAAGTACCTGTCTTGTGAAGGTATTTTGAAAATTAAAGAGATAAGGCACTTAGCACAGAGTATGTGACCATTTTTTTTTAAGAAAAATTCAAATGTTCCCTTTGGCACAAAGGAACAGATGATAAATGAACCCAGTGGAGAAACGGACTGGGTGGTATGGGGAAGCCAACTCAGGATTTGGAAAACAATGTGTCATATAGTCAACACTGCACTACGTAATTCGGAGTTAAAGTATATAGACTATTCTCAGTTACTTATGCTCATGGAGAGAAGCGGTGCCATGAATAAAATGTCAGCAATTAGCACAGACAGAGGATTTCTTATCAAGCAACAACTGAGGTCTGGGGATGGAGAAACCAAACAGCAAGCAGAGGAATCGAGGTTGGGGCGGGGGGCAGTGTCCTTTACTAGTCTTTACTATTCCAATGATGGGACGGTGGTGAACGCATAGCTTTTCTCTATTTTTTGATGCATGTTCTCTAAAGATCCACTTTTCAGCTCCTTCCTGACACTTACTTTACCATCACTGGGGGGGGGGAGATGTTCACTGTCAGGGGGGGGGGGGGGGAGTGGGGAGAGAGAGAGAGAGAGAGAGAGAGAGAGAGAGAGAGAGAGAGAGAGAGAGAGGAAGAAAGACACTGTTAGGTTAATAGATGCAGAGAGTCTGCCCAAAGTTCAAGTAAAAGGTATCCTAATGGGCTCAGCCACCCCAATACTGAATAGTGACCTCTATATTGGGGGCTCAACAAGAACCCATTTATTTTGCTAATTCTTTCTCATTCTAACTAGGCTTTTCCTGGGCTGCAGAAAGGAAAGTGAATACTTTTCTGAGCACTGTTCCCACCTGTCTCTCTCATGCTCTAGGCTTCCCCATCAACTTCTCCGGCACAGCACCTCCTCAGATAAGCACCGTAAGGGGTCAGAAGACCAAATCTGGGTGCATGGTGAGAGAGCGGGCATCAGGAAAGGTGGCTATGGGCAAGGAAAGCAGAGGGGTCCCTGAATTTACAGGTCCTCTGAATGGGGAAAGTCAAGATTGGAGCAGAAAATGGGAAAGGTTCAATGCCAACATGGAAAGGTGCTCAGAGGGAATCAGCCCTCACTGACTGCAGAGTCTGCTCTCTACTGAGAAGTCCAGTTGGTGATGGTCCTGCACACCTGAGGTGTAAACTGCCTGCCAGCCTTTCTCTCTAGTTCCGGGGTGCAGCCCAGTGCCAGCTTGGTCTACGAAACTCTGCTGGGGGAGGGGCATTGCCTCTTGGGGACACACTGCATTCACAAAACATCAGTGGCTTTAATAATAACTAAAATCTTTTGGTGTTAAGCAGAATTTTGAAGATCTCAGGGAATTTCACCCATATTACTTGACTTTTCTTACAACTTTAGGAGTGGGCTAGATATTAACCTCCCCAGAAGATGGTATCTCCATTAGAGAGGTATAGTAACATCCTGAAGGTCAACAAGTCAGTAATAGCTGAGAGTATGATCCCAGCCAGCCCAGGCAATTTCCTGCTCTTTGGATTCTGCTGCAAAATGTATGATGCTGCTATAATACATAACATAGATGTTCCTAAATGGTTTGATAACTTACATCATTTATAGTTAAGTGCTTTTACATAAATTATGTTATTTGGTTCTCAGAGCAACTATGTAAAGTAACTACTATTAAGATCTGTATCTTATGTGACAGAAACCTGAGGCTCAGATTGATGATGGAATTTCCCTAAAGTCACTCAGTCAAAA